ATAGGCATGTGCAAACATGCTTCTATTTAAGGCTAATAATATTAGCCATATTATTTTAAAGGTATTTTGGTATACATATACATAGTGAAATGATTATTGCAGTCAAACAAATTAATATATCCATCATCTCACAGTTACATTTGATTGTGAAAGTGCCTAAAATTATGTTAGCAAATTTTCAGTGTAAAACATGGCATTATTAACTACATTCCTCACATTCTACATTAAAACTTTGATCCCATTTTTTTTCTCATTTTCTTCAATGATATAAATTGTGTTAGAATTGTAAATCTCCTAAGATAAAGATATCATAGTGCTTTATAGTTATGTTTGCCAATATGGAGGAAGTGTCTGAAAAGTTTTCAATCTATAAACCCTGCTTCTTAGACTAAGATTAGGTTTTAATTTTTTCTGAGCACTGACCTTCAGTGTACACAATTTCATTATTTAATGGATTCATCATTTCTTATTGTTTTAGGCTCTGAGCTAGAAGGGCATACTGGAAATGACACAGTAGTTTTGCATTTTGACAGTTGCTATCTGTGTCATTTCATGCTTTCCTACTTTCAGTCATATTTTAATATTCATATCTACTACAGGTGTTCTTTTAACTTTATGTATTCTGATTCTTAGTGAAGGAAGGTTTGTTTTGTTGTTGTTGTTTTACATTACTGAAAGTCAAACCAGGACCTCATCCATGCTAGGCGAGTGTTTTACCAGTAAGCTATACTCCCAGCACTGTTAGTAAAAGTTTTTAATAAGAAATTCAATTTATCTATTTCTTCTTGAGATTTGATAGTTTGTGTCTTTTAAGGAATTTTTCATTTTATCTGAGTTGTTAAATTTCTTCAACTAATGCTATTCATTTTAATAGTAATTAACATCCTTGTTTACCAATTCTATTTGTCATATTTGGGTCAATTTCAACTGATTGATTTTTATCACCATTATGGGTCCATTTTACTATTTCTTTGCTTACCTAGTAATTTTTTATTTGATCAGAGACCAATAGGGGGAATCACAGATAAAAAAAATTGAAACTATAATGAAAGTTAAGAAAGTTTCAGTATGGAGTAATGAAGTATAATTTAGTTTATAACTAGGGAGACACCACAATAAATGGTAATCTTCAAAGGACTTATGAGATGGATAACAACCTAGATATGCCTAGTAACTACAGCATTGTTCAGATAGTTAAAGATATGGGGGAACAGGATTTCAGTAAGAAAGAAGAGCTTATATATATATGTGTGTGGATGTGTGTGTATATTATATACTTATGTATTCAATACTCATATGTATCCTTATGTATATATTCATATACATACATATAAATGGGTGTGCATTCAGTAATAAATATTTGTTGCATGCAAAGCAAAAGAGACAACAGGAGTTCTAATAACCCTGAAAATATATATTCTTTTTCAATCTTTTTGTCTGTATGAGTTGTGAGTTTGCTTTTAAACCACACTGAGAAGTCTCTGTGAGAGGCATGTTCATTGTGCAACAAGCACAGCCTCTTGTTCATTGTTGTGGTTGTTGATGGGCCATTCCCTTGGGAACAGCTGTTGGCTGTAGGACTTAGTGGTTCACCTGCAGATAGTCTCTGAGAGAGGAGCACCTCTTAGTTTACATAAAGTTTCTTTCTGCCATTCTTGAGTTCTTTTGGATTTTTTTTTATTCTTTTCATTTATCAGTTAGAATTGGGTTCAGTCACATAAAAAAAAAAAAATTCAAAATAGCAATGGCTATACCACAATCCTTGTCTTTTCATATGAAACAAGTCCAGAGGTGGGTAGTATCACTCAGGTGATTAACAGCTTGATATCCTGGCCACTTCCATCTTTCATCTCAGCAATGTTCCTTGGGTACCTTCCTTTGTGATCCTGGATGGCAGTTGGACATTTGGATAGCTCCCCCTCATTCTAGACCTTAAGACATGGGCAAGGGATATGAGAGGACTCCTTTTAGCTGACTCCACCCTCTTCAAAATAATTGTTTAGAAAATTTTACACAAAAACCTCCATTCACATCTCACTGGCCAGAATTTAGTCACTTGGCCATACCTATCTCCAAGAGCTTGAACAGTGTTGTTTTTGTTTTTCTTTAAGTGGGAAAAAACTGCTAATTCAAATTAAAATAGATTACAGCTACTCAGAAATAAAGCAGGTAATCATTTGAAGTTTCTGATTTTTCTATTTTTTTATTTAAATAATTTTAACTAATATATAAAAACATAAAAATATATATTTATGGAGTATCATGTGATATTTTGATGGACATACATTGTATAATATTAAAATTATAGCTATTTCCTCAAACATTCATCATATATTTACAGTGAAACACTCAAAACACTTTATTCTTATTTTTTAAAATATACAGTACATTATTATTATTTATTGTCAACCTTTATTATTTACTATACGCAGCACACCAGAACTTCTTACTCCTACCTAACTGTAATTAACTACCCACTTATGGACAGTTCTTCTCTTCTTCTCATCCCCTCTACTCTAGGAACCATCACTCTACTCTCAACTGTTATGAGATCAAATTCCTCATATTCCCTTTAGGAGCAAGATCATGCAGTACTTGTCTTTCTGTGATGGCATAACACTGGCATAGCACTGGTATAAAGACAGATACATACACTAAGGGACCAGAACAGAGAGCCCAGAATTAAACTGATACATCTACTGATGTTTGATTTTCAACAAAGGTGATAAAAACATACATTGAAGAAATGAGTCTTTCAATAAATATTGCTAGAAAATTGTATGTCCACATGCATAAGAATGGAACCAGACCTCTGTTTCTAACTGGTTATAAAAATAAACTTCAAATTTATTAAAGATACAGATGTAAGACCTTAAACTATGAAACTGCTAGAAGGAAACAGGTGAATCAGGACATTGGAAAAGAGCAAGGATTTTTGGGGTAGATCCTAAAAGCACAGGAAACTAAGCAAAAATTGACAAATGCGATTCATAAAACTAAAAGGCTTCTGCACAGCACAGAAATAATCATCAGAGTGAAGAAACAACCTACAGAATTGGACAAAATATTTGTAAACTATATGTCTGACAGGGGCTAATATGTGGAATAGATTAGGAACTCCCAAACCCAGTAGTTTTAAAATGGGCAATATACCTAAATAAATAATTCTCAAAAGAAGACATACAGATAACCATACACACAAGTATATGAAAAAATTGATCAACATCACTAATCATCAGGGAAATGAAAATTAAAACCTCACTCTATTAAGAATGGGTATTGTCAGCTGGGCATGGTGACATATTCCTATAATCCCAGAAACTCAGGAAGCTGTGATAGAAGGATAGTAAATTTGAAGACAGCCTGGATAGTTTAGCAAGACACTGCCTCTAAATAAATGTGTGTGTGCGTGTGTGTGTGTGTGTGTGTGTGTGTGTGTACGCACGTGAACAAATAAATAAATAAAAGAATAAGTAAAAGAGCTTGGATGTAACTTAGTGATAGAGCACCAAAATGGATAAATAAATAAATAAATAAATAAAGTACTGGTGAGAACAAGGAAAAGAGGAAAAGGGAACCTTTGCACACTGTTGGTAGGAATTTAAATTAATATAACTACCATGAAAATATTATGAAGTTTCCTCAAAGAATTAAAAATAGAATCACCATATGATCCACACTCCCACTACTGGGTGTATATCCAGTATGTGAAAGAGACATCTGTGTTCTATGTTTTTTGTAGCACTATTTACAATAACCAAGAAATGAACATAACCTAAGCATCCATCAACTGATAAATGGAGAAAGAACATGCAGCACATAAACATAATCTAGTCAGCCATTAAAAGGATCGATATACTAAGTACTTACTGTTTTTAAAGCATATCATACAACCAAGTACAACCAAATGGTACTATTTCCTGGATAAGAAGTTTTAATCTGGCTGTGGCTTTTTCTCATGGAGAAATAAAGTGTCTTTTACAGGTGGAGGAATGTCAAATACCTGCTGAAATTACTAACTTGTCATCATACCCTAGGCCTCAACATTGGAAATCATCCAAAGCATGTTGTCAGAAAATCTGTTATCTCTAAGCTAGTGCCTAAAAGTAGATATACTCTATTCTCTCTTTTGAAATACCCTAGAACAACAGTGGAATTAAGTTCCATTTGGCAGTTCAAGAAAGCAGATCAATTGGTTTCACATTGCTTATCAATGGCATATAGATAGTAAGGAATATAGGTTCCCTTTGTGCTTGATGTAATGCAGTATTTTTGATTAACAATTTACTGCATAGAAGTTTTTTGCACAGTATTTTTGATTAACAATTTACTGCATAGAAGTTTCCAAAATATTATTCAAGTATTCTGTATTACCTCTCTATATTAAGTATCAATGGCTGCATAACATCTCAAAACTCAGTGGCTGAAAATAATAAACTTGATTATCTCACTGTCTGTCTCTGTAAATCAGGATTCTAGACATGAATTTGCTGAGTTCTATACTGTCAAACTCCTGTGAATTGGGCACATCATTACATCTGCAAAAAATGAGAGAAAATGTTTTTTTTTTTTAGGTTTGCCTTAGGTTAAAAAAAATCACGGTAAAACCACTGCATATACATATGTATTTTTTTTGCTTGATTATATTTTCTGATCTTTTGCCTTTCATCTTGGTTTTCATTGCTGTATACAGTGAACAACAGTAACTGTGGCAGCCAGAAAAGCACTCTAAATAGTCCCTTAGGGCCAACTCCGAAGAAGTAGAGACTCCATACTCTAAAGTCTAGTGATAGGAATATGCTTTCATGAGAGTGTTGAAGAAGTCATCTTGAATTTTCAACTAGCTACCTAATATTACTTTATAAAAGAAAAAAAACTAAAAATATTTCTATTGTATGACTTAGAAATGGGTGACTTAGAAAATAGAAAATATATAACTATTTTCCATAGTTATAGTGCATCGCTCTAATTCTTTCTCTATGGCTACTTTTTTGGAATAGACTAAGATGCCTAGTGAAGCAGCTGGAGAAAGGTGACGTGAACGTGGTGGACTTGAAGAAGAACATTGAATATGCAGCATCCGTGCTGGAAGCAGTTTATATCGATGAAACAAGGTGAGTCAGGTCCTCACCTCCTCTCTCTTTTGTCCTCATTCTTCTCTCCCTTCTTCATTTCTCAGTCTTGACCCTGCTTCACTCAAACAGCAATCGAACATATCTTAATATAAAACCAAAATCAAAATCTTATTAAAAATTTAAAGGTTCCTTTTGATCTAGTTAATTAACTGGACTATGATTCTTTTTAAAAAAAAAACAAAACAAAACATGTCCTTTGATCCAAATGCTTTAAGACAACAAAAATATCAAACAATAAATTTATAAAATGAAAGATAATTCATTCTCTTCTCATGCACCCCCACCTTCAATGTCCTTAGGTCTAGTCTTTAAACGTTAGAGACAGGTGTAGCCTTATATTGGTTTTCACTCAGGTATGAAATTTTCCTCTAATATCAGAGTTTCTTCTGAGAAATGGCTATGACATGCCCACATGCTCACGCTCATGATTTCCTGGAGGGCTTTGTGAAGCTCCAAATATGTCACCACCCAAACCCAGCCTCATCGTTAGCAGACTGGTAAGGAGATTAGGAGATGGAGATTCATTGGAAGAGGGTTGTTATCCCAGTGCTGTGGCTCTCAGCCAGGCCACTTACCCTCCAGGGAATGTTTGGCAGGCTCAAGAGACTTGCCCAGTGTCTCTTGGTGTTTACAGAGTGCTAAGACAGGGTCCTGACTCTCAGAAAAGATAAAGGTGACAGTCAACTGATGAGAGCCTCCCATGAATTTAGAGCTAAGAGGGAACCTTCAGCTGGAGAGAGATAATCTTCCAGAGTTTGACTCAGATAACTTTTCAAAGCCATGATGAAAATGGAATAGAGGTCTTTTGAAGTAATAATAAAGTAATAAAGAGTACCAACATCAAAGGATTCTAGGGTGTTTTTGGTAAAAGGATCAGGGGAGAAACTGAAAATTTCAGCCAAAATATCACAGAATATAAAATGTTTAAGGTGCCATGAACATGTTCAGGTGTTCAAGAGTACTGAGTTACCTCTGAAGGACCCACAAAAAGTCTCTAGGAGAGAAAATTAACCTACATTTGGGCATTTGTTACACAGAGGACAGCAAAAGTACCAGTCTAGTAAGACCCTCTGCCCTGTTATTCTCTCTCTGTCCCTCCACATTGTTGAACAACTAGAAGCAGTAGAGTAGGGGCAGGGAATGGAGAGTGAACACACTCCAGGTCTCTTCCCTTCTGAAGGTATACATGCTGAGCTTGGGAAGGTAAGAAATGTTAAACTAGAGGTGAGATTGAAGTTTTTATTTATCTTTGTGTACTGGACTTCATATAAACAATGGGTAATATTGTTTAATGGGTAATAAAGACCTGATTCAAAAATCAAAATAATACAAAAGGTTTCATCAGTCTTGCCTCCACCTTAGTCCCCAGCTAATCTCTTATTATGTGATATATGACAAAATTTTATTTTGATATTTTCCCCCCTTCTTTCATGGAAGATAGCATAGAACATACATGATCTTTCATTTTGCTTTGTTTTTTTTTCCCCACTAACTAAGGCAGCAGGGGGATCTTCCTGTATCATGTTTTAATCTTTTTTATACTCAACCATGAAGATTTTCACTAATAATGACAGAGACAGCCATAGCAAAGGCTGTGCTGAACAAGTGGTTCTGCTTTGGTCCCCAGAATGGAGTTCCTCTGCCCGAGCATGGTTTAGAGTTACAAATTAAGTGGGGGGCGGAATCAAAGGAACACTTTTAAATTATAAATTCTGTCCAGAATTGTTTTCACTGTTAAATTTCACTGAATGAACACAATATATATATATATATATATTTATTCTAAGCAAACAGAGATTCAAAATGTAAATTTAAAATACCTGATATTGTTCCTTTAATTTCTTTGTTCCTTTATTTTCCTGTGTGGCCTTTATTGTTCACCAGTTGATTGGACTTAACAGGCTTGACATCTCTTTATTCTGTCTTTGGCTAGACATTTCATTTTATATTTATTTATAAAATTAAAGAATTTCTGGACTGAGGGTAAAACTCAGTGGTTGAGCACAAGGCCCTGTGTTCCAACCCCAGCACTGCAAAACAATAACTAGCCCCCCAGATCCCCCCAAAAAGACTTTTACCTTCAAGAATTTTATATATATTAATAAAATTATATACATATATAATAAAATTCATCTTATAATGGCAATGTTAACTATATGATTTTGCCTAAGAATCATATCTTTCATTTGACAGATTATTACATGCTATGCTTATTCATTTTGTTATATTTCCTTTCTCTGAAAATTATGACTCCATGAATATTTTGTTAATGTAATTTACCATGAACCCTAACTCATTTAAACATGAATTATGTTTAAAGTATAGTCCTTTCTCATTTGAAAAATTCTCTTTTGTAGGAAAAAAAAGGTTAAGCACAATATTTAACTGCTTCATGGTAGAAATTTAATTTGGAGGGGAAGATTGCTTCTTACCACAAAACATCCCGGTTCCTAATGCCAACCACATCATTCCCAAATTTCTACTTAAATGACAAGAAATGTTCCACCCTTTCATTTTAATACTTCCATGACATCATTATTTTTAAACCGGATTAATAACAGCCCACATTTATGCCATCTTCAAAAGGCTCTTGTTTCATTACTTCACATAGTTTCACCCCAATCCTCAATATTGTTTTCTATGTTTTACTAATGAGAAAACTAGAGATCATTTAAACATCACAACAGTTCTATGAGATAGAAATTCTACTATTACCATTTTGTATATAAGGAAATTAAATCACATAAAAGTTAAATAGCTTACTCAAGAGAATGAATTGAAGAGTGAGATTAGGACCAGGGCAATCCAACTCCAGAGCCTAGGCTACTAAGCACAATTCTCATCCCCATCCCTTTTGCAACATTTAACCAAAAGTGAAAGACTGGAAGTTTGATGGACACTCATGTGCTCTCAAGATCTTGAGACTTGGTGGGTGCAGATAAAGTTGTATCTTATCTGTTTGCCTTCAGTGATGACATACTGCTAGCTTGAAATTGGCTTTGGTGTGATATTAACACCATGGAAAATGTCAAATGCAACATGCAACATCATTGGTTTTCCCTGGAGAGCCTGATAAACATTTACCATCATGCCACTGGCTAGACCTAAGATCCCCGCTTAAGAGTCTTCTAAGAGCCCAGATTTTATTGACAAATATCAGTTTAGAAATTCTTAGAACACACATAGTTTGATTTCCTATGCCTATAGTGAGACACATAGCATTAAACTGAGGATGTTTCTATTGAGATATACATAGAATTATTTAAGTGTCATTTGCCTTAGGAATATTACTAAAATAAGGATCGTTTAAAAGGAGTATGGCTTGAGAAGCATTTAGTTGATTTTTATTTATATTTTTATATCCTATATGGCTTCTGAAACTTATTTAAAAATAATTCAGTGAATATTCCAGAAGTGTTGCTTGAAAGTTGACTGTATTGAAAATTAAAAGATGAAAAAAAAAGGTCAGCATATAATAATACTGGGTAGAACATAAATTATTGGTTGGTTTAAAACATCCTTTTTTATTTCTTTCTTTCTCTTCTTACTAAATACTAGTGACCACAGGTTTTCAGTTAGAAAACAAAATAAAAATTTCTCTTTAAAGATGATTTTGGTGAGAAAAATAAAAACAGTTTCTGACAAAAATTAAATTCTGACCTTTGCAGAGATTATAGCACAATTCCCTAGTGAACGTGAACATTTGTTGTTTTTTTAAAAAGACATTTTCATATGCAAATGCCAATATTTTATGAGTCTTTCTTTCAGATATGTCCCTAGAGGCTATTATTTTCAAAGTCGCACAGTTGTAATCCAGAAACATGTGGCCTAAAAAGAAAAAAAAAAAATCTATTCGTCCTTATTTGGATTGGGACACTGCCAAGCAAAGTAGCATCCTTGGCCTCCCAGGCAGCTGACTGGGAGATGTACTTCCAGAGATGGATACTGTGCTTACTGATATCTTACAAAAATAATTTATAACTTCATTAGCTCAGAAATATAATGCCAATGAGAGATATAAATTGGGAATTATAACCCAGGATTCTCACTTTTTTATTTTCAGGACCTTGTACATGTTAGGCAAGTGTTCTGCCACTGAGCTAAATCCCCAACCCCCTCAGATTTTTTTTTTAATGTCTTTGTTACTAATCTTTAATGTTTGGAGCTCCTTTGCAATTCAGATATGTTGACATCATATCGTATCTCAAAATCCTAAAAATCTTGAGGATGTCTAGTGAAGGTTTACTTATTTCACCAATCTGTCCCATCACTTTCCTCTGCAGCCAGCTCTTGCTTCAGCTACTGAACTGTACCTGTGCAGGTCCCTTCTTTCCTTCCAAATTCCATCTATCTACAGACAGCTCCTAAAAATTAGCTGAAGCCTTTCCTCCAGTTTCCCAAATTGAAGCTAAACGCAGTTGCAAGTTGTGTAACACCTACTGTAGAGGCTTTCAGAACCCACTACTCAAGCCCTTGCACATAGATTTTCTATCACCCATCCCTCAGCATTCACTAAAGTCTGATGCACCTCTCACCTCTCACAGAAACCAGTTTACTATTTCCTGTGGAAGTCCTTTCAACATGTTTTCCTATTCTAAGTTCAGCTTCTCAAGGTCCAAGTCCCAGATAAAGAAAAGGAACAATCAAAATTAATGTCAAGTTGGATGTTCATCTCCCAGGATCAATAGTTGTGCTAATGGAATACGCAATTTAAATTCATATTTAGAAAAACAATGACAATTTTCTAAAGGATACAGAATCTTCAGTGATCAACTGTGTTCACAGTATAGATGAGCTTGCATGTTACTGTTCAAGGATGTTTAGTTTTGGGAATCTTATTTTTTTCATATTATATATGCCAGAGCAAAACCTTTACTTTATCATAAAAAACAAGAGCAGTCTGCACAAAGGTAAAATATATCTCTGTAGAATATGATGATTTTTTTGACTTTTCAAATGTCATATTTTCTCTCTTAAAA